TCGGCAGGTAACTGACCGGGACCCGGATGGACGCAGTGCGGCGCACGTATGGTCCTAAAATGTCCGTAAGGATAACGTTGGGGATATTAAACATACCTTAAGGCAGGTAAAGCCTTTGACCCGTGTTCGATTCTCGGACGACGGTGAATGTCACTTTCGTTGTACAAATATTATCAGTACCTTGCGAAATTAAAAGAGATTATTACTGTTTAACTTCTTGACAGACTGTCCAGGAACGATGTGGTGGCTGAACTGTGCTCTGGTATGTATATTCAAGTTCGCTTCCTGCCAAAGTTCTCAGGTTAAATCATAATGAACACCATCATTATCTCATTAGCCGGCGTGCAGAGCTGAATCGGTTAAATCGCTAGACTTGTAATCTGTATATTGTGGGTTCGATTCCCGGGATGACCAACTGAAATTACAAGGAATCTTTCAGACGGGATGTTGCACTTATTCATAATCCCTCATGTACAGACTCAATCAAATAGATAAAATAAGAATCCCTAAACTGAGTCTGCAATTCTTATGTAATTTTGTTGTGATTAATGATTCCGGGGGATCATTTTGTTTCAAAATTTTACAGCGAGGTCCCCTGTATGAGTGCTTTAACACTTGGATAGGTAAAAAAGAAGGAGAAGATTGTTTTGGGTCCTGCTTGGCTCTTTGACGTTGTTCATACTGTGTTGCTAAATAGTGTCGGGGTTGCGTTCATTGAACGCCTCCTTCCTTTTTGATCTTGTTTTTCATATTTTTCTGAAATTGGGGCATCTTGCTATCATTATCTCGCGCTGTCCTCCAACATCAAGAACGACTAATACTCTTCTTGAGGACTCGCCTATACGGGCAACCGATGGCGAGTATTTAGAAAAAATTCTCTCAGTTATCACACACGTTCATGAAGGTTTCTAAAAGTTTCATTTACAATCTTTTATGGAAAACTTTGATTTCAGAGTGTTTTAATATACCTTCCAAAACTGAAAGCAAAGAAGGGGTGGGGAAGAAATCAGAGGAGAAGAAGGCAAGGAAAAATGCTAACAAAAGGATGTGTGAATAACGGCCCGAAAATGGGATAGCATGCCATACGAATACCATCCGAAAGCCGACCAGATATCGCACGTATATTTTACCGTTATCGTACGATTGTTGCAAACAGGCTAGATAACGGAAGGCAACTGGACATTTATCGTACGGTAGTCTGCCGGGTACCTTTAGAATATCGACCGGTGTCCAGAAAGAAGACGCCAACTGTTTTCATCGGATGACCGGGCGAGTACCCTTCGGAAACCGTCCGAATACCTAACTGACCACAGAGGGAGAATGACCGCCCACTTATCCCGGACATGATTGAGATCTCAAATTAGCAACGGTGTCCCAGCGATCCCTCTATATCGGCCGGTCCCCGCTTGTAATGTGACGTAGGCATAAGGAAGTATGGTTTGAAATTTCTTTAAAATGTCAGTTTATACCCCCCTTTGCGAAAAATGAGACTTTTAAACTCAGAAAACAAAATATTTGGCCTTTCTACGTAAACACGGAGTGACGTACACAATGTAAAAATATGATATAAACAATTTCTTTGGAATTTTCTCTATTTTCAGTTTGAGTTAAGCTTTGAATAATCAATGTTATAATGCTTATAAACCTCGCCAAAATCCAAATAATGATAAGAAATTGTCAGTAAAAGCTAAACATTTATTTCATTTTTTACATCTAGATCTATATGCAAAATAAGATCTTGTTTGCATCTTGGTGTTTGCAGCACAACGGTATGGAGACTATTCGTTGCCAAAAATCTAGCCTTTGAAACTTGATATTGCCTACTTCGGTTCTTCTTTACAGATTAGTAAAAATCTAATAGTCAATCCGAGATTTACATACTGCACTGGTATTAAGAATTTTGATTACCTCGATTTGATAAAATGGAAGCTGTAAATGTGCAACAATTGCACACTGTATTTAGAAGTGTATAACTTCAAATTTGCGACTTGTAGAAAACGATAGAATGTACACAACACGTTCAATGCTGTGCATCATGACGTTGAGAATGTAACTGCATCAGTTGACACTCTCAGGTTGACAACACCACACGTTCCTTTTACATTCTAACGCGATTAACATTTGTAAACGATTTTGCAACTTCCATATATTGACTTACCACGGAAATAGACGAAAATTAATAGGCGGAGCCAATTTTCACGAAAACAAAATATAAAGAGAGGTAACTCTTGCTGGTACAAAAATATTTCAAATTATATAAAACTGTTTTAAATTTCACATACATCAACTGCATTACAGTTGACTTGAATATCCTCTGATTTTGTTGAAACGTATTCTAGTACAGGATATTCAAGTAATGCAAAATTGGTTAAGATATACTGTAACAATGTAACAACGTTTATACTGATAATGAGCATAATAATATGCAAAAACTAAAGTTGGTGAATTAACATAAGGATATGTTTCCCATATATATTGACATAAGTCACAAATTCATTCCGATAGGATTTGTGTGTCTTCAAACATTACAATTGTAGTACTCGTACGCATTTCTTTTACATTCAGCAAACAGTACTAGAATGAGATACATCGAATTTACTTTTGGCAACACGAATAAAGAGAACTGAACAGTAAGCCTGTGCCTTCTTTTTTAAAAGACTATTTTGTAGAAAAACCCAAATTTTTTACCAACTGTAATACCACGGAACTATTCAAAGTTTACTATCGATAATTGACATACGAGAAAACTATGACATGCTCACCAACACCAAGGATAACACAAAAAGGGCAAGCCCTTATTTCCATTGTGGTCCTTGAATTGATAATCAACATACATAATATACCTTTATAAAAAAAATGATAAAAAAGGGGAAAATATATCTATACAATAAGGTAAAAATAAAAAAGTTATGTACAAAAGGGTACATAGAACTTTTGTTTTAATTTTACTATTTGTTAAAAGTTTTTTTTGTCAAGTCATACGCTAGAAATAAGGTTACTAATGTAATTGTAAATGCTACTAAGCCAGAATTTGGTCTGTACTTAGTCGTATCAAAATATCTCTCAGATGTTGACTTGAAAATTTGAAAGTGGTCAGGTAGCAGCTTAACTGTTAATGTTACTCATTCCTATGCAAATTTGGAATCCCCTCAGTAAAATTCATTTGTCGTTGAATATAGTCTTATCAATATTTGTTTTACTTCCTTGAAAAATATTTAACCTCAGACAGTAAGTAACCTGGTGATTTTTTTAGTTTCTTTTTCTAGGAAATTTGGTATCTACAACGTTTCAAAACTTATATGCCTATAACCATTTAAAGACCGCTGATGTTGATTGAATAAAGGCATAGAATGGCAATCATGCAAGTGAATTATGTTTGGTTGACGGTAAATACCGAAACTGAGCGGATTACTACGTTTATTTACGGCGGGAAAATGGGCGGAGCATATTTTATCTCCTATTGAAAAACGTGTAAACCTGGATTATGCTAATCCGAATCATGATGGGCTAAGAAAGTAACTTCTGTTTTGTCGGCGTATACACGAACAATGAACTGTATTCCGCATGTTATGATGAACACTTGGTAGTGCTACTATCAGAATAACAGTCAATGTTTTGTCAGTTAACAACATGTATTTTGTTGAAATACATGTTCACAATCTTAAATCGGCAAACTCAATCCAAGAATGCAACATTAGAGTTGACATACAAAGCAATACAATTGTATTTTATCAGTAAACAAACTGTTCAACTCTGTTCAATAAGGCTGGATTTTTGGCAACGAACAGTCTCCATACAATGGAAGGGAGTCAGCTGTATGGAATGTCTTTTTATCGACTTTAGATAAATTGGCGAGTCTGTTTATACCAACATGCTTGATGTGCAACTCTTATTCCCATTTGATTCACAGTGAAAATAAATGTGTATGTAAAGGCTATAATGATTGTTGTTATAGAGATTTATCCATATTCTTACTTTATGAAACTATCAACATTAAATAACCTTAATTAAACGAAATAAAACTGACTCTTTTCAATAAGAAGAACAGCAGAACAAATAAAAACTAGAAACCACGTGATTAATTTTTGCTTTTAGTGTCCTAGATAGGTAGGTACCAGACCTAAAATTCTTGCGCAAAATCTTAGTGACGGTTCGGTATTTTCCATGAGCACAAGGTGTGAGGATACAATGCTACGCGGCGATTTAATCCAAGTTTATAGGTAGCACCGTTACACCGTCAGAAAGTACGGACTTGTACGGAAATATTGGTTCCCGGCCAGATGTATAAATTTAAATTTCAATTTCAAATGTAATTTCGTATTCGTGTTATTGCAGTTCGTATTCGTCTAGGTGCATTCGTATAGATTTTATTTCAGTGTCATGTAACCCACTTTGTATTCTTAAAAGAAAGGACGTTCAAGATCATAAGTTAAAATCTAAATTATTTAAATTGAAAAGGAAGAAGTATGCAACATAATATCTAATCACGTAGTTTAAACAAGAAGTAGAAACAATTGATCCTTACATTCTGCAGTATCAAAGTACAAATGTTTATCTGTCAATTAAAAAGTAGCAATTAAACTTGTTTAAATCATTTTAAATTTATATGATTTTAGATAAGAATTTAATAAATACGAAATTACTATAAATTATATAAATTGAAAGATAAACAGCGAATAAATACCCAAATTCTGCTCCATAGGAATGATTACTGTAACAAATGTCTAAACATTTTTGGTTTCAACTCTACTGATTGACATTATCGCAATTAAAAATATTTTAAGGAAGCTAAATGATCGTGCGAAACCACATATTAGCTGTGAATACTATCCGATAACCTTTCGATAACCTTTCGAAACACTGAAACATAAAAGCCTTTGTGTTTAATATAAATCGTTTTTAAGCGTATTGGTGAAACAAAAGAAAAATAACAAAGAAAAAATTAAACTTGCTACAAAAGAAAAGAAAACCCGTCTTTATTACAAGAGAGACACCTTGGCATGTTTTGTTTTTCTAATAGTAAATATTTTGAACTATTTAACACAGTGTATACGGAAGACTTCGTACACCTTCTCTTACATTTAATACAAGTATATGATGGAACCGGGAACATATGATAATTTGGATGTAGAAATTGAGTTAAAAAATCGGACTGAACAAGACAACATTTACGAAACTCTTCAACATGGTACAGGAGAGCTTGCAGATAAAACTACTCCTTCACCCAAGAAGTGCACACCACTTTTGTTTTGGTGTACCCTCGTAAATTCAATTTTGATTGGACTGTTGATTATCGCAGTATCTGTTTCTTTATACATGTGTATAAACGTTTCAAAGGCTTCAAATAGTAAAGGTCAGTACTAACGATTTTCTTTTAGTGTCTGTTGGATTGTAACAGCTATATTAAACAAATAAGAATATTATCTTTATTTTTGTTTGTTTATGGCTTAATAATAATAAGAAACACCAGGCAAATATAGCACGAACATATTGTTTTTTTGTTTTGTGTTATATTGTTTAAAATTGAGACCCCAATATTATATCTTTTCTCGTATCTACCGGATGGTGACGGAAATGATCGAAAGCTGCTATTGTATCGGTTCTTGAAAACTCAGAATAATGTTTTTGCTGAGACAGCTATAAGTATAATTTATTAACTGATTCTGGTTTATTTTTTGTATCTTGTATCAATTTAAAAAAAAACTATCAGCCATACAACTCTCTCCTGCTACTTTTTGCTCTGTTGGCAAATTCTATAATTATAGTGAATTAGAATTTTTATGGAGTCAAAATACTACATGTACTTTGTTTACATTTGCTACCGTTGTATGACGTTAGTAGAACGTCATAATACTGATAATGAGCATAATAATATGTCAACACTATAGTTGGTAAATTTGCATAAGAGAATGTTTCCAATATATAAGGACACAAACCACTCTTGGTGGTGAGCAAGATAATCACCGACAGGAGTTGTGTGCCTTAAACCGTTACATTTCGGATGTAGACAACTACTGGACTGGAGTTGCCATACCCTATGATTTCCAAGGCCAAGTCTCGTGACGAAACTGTGACAAACTCCTCGGAGGGGACTGTAATGTAACGACGTTGGTAGAACGTCATTATACTGATAATGAGCATAACAAGTTTGCGTTTTTAAAAAAAAGCACGCGAGAGGTCTTTTTGCAGATGTTGAAGATTTGTTTAATTGTTTAGAAATAAGAACTTCTGATTAGCCTTATTGTATCTGCGAACAATAGAAGTATATCGGCTATTTCCGTCTGACTACGGGTAGGCTCAAATTAGGAATAATAGGTAATATGTTCCAAAATTAAAGAAGGAGCCAAATTTCAGTACACGGTTCACTCGGTCATACATGTACAGAAGTGCTTGGTGATATTGTTAGGAAATAACTCTGGCTTAAAAAAGAACACTAGAAATCTGTCGCTGAAAATGTCTGTCGTTTAGAACTATATGCTTGTATAATAAAAAAGAGGTCCAAGTGAAGAATATAAAAAAAAGTCCAAGTGAAGAATGATAATTAAATGAATTAAACTAAAATTAGGCCCTAGCAACAGTTTAAAAGGAACTACAACTCTTCAACTACATTATACTCAAAGAACCCCAACAAATAGAAATTTCCAATCTTATATAATCTTTTGTTTGCGCATGCAGCTAGTAAGTGTACAAAAGTAAATTGGCGCTCGACCCACTCGCGGAAATCAATCTGCACGACTTCTTGTGCGGCTACCTATTCAAAGTGCTGACATGCATTAACAATGTTCAAAATGGTACACACTGGCAATGGCTTTCGCAGAAGGGGTGGGTCTATCGCAGCGGCGGTGGAGTGTTCATCGCAGCAGCGGTGGATAAAAATTGGGCGTTTGCTGTTGTCAGAAAATTTATGATTGAATTTTGCTTTATGTTTTAACGTTTTACGGGAAACACATAGTGAGACTGGAGCCCCCATATGTACTCTTCCAACTTACGCACATCATGCAATATATTGCCATTTATCCAAACACTTCTGTACAGTTTGACAAGGGGACGCCACTTTTGCCGAGTTATGGTAAAGACAGGTACAAATGTGTGCAAAACGACACCTACATATAACGGCATAGCATCGTATGAATACTACTTATGCAAAACAACCATATTTTTGTATATTTTGAAATTGTAATTGCCTGTTTATAAATAAATGACAAAAAATGATTACAACGCAGACGGCAGTGGATTCGATTGTAACGCAGTGCGGTTGGCACGATGCCATTATTTTTAAGCCTTTAACTTGTCATACGACGCACCTTTCAATCAATCGAGTGCAACCTTTTTTTCTTAAAAAAACGTGTTTAATTGGTGTTCAACAATATAACTATATATATATATATATATATATATATATATATATATATATATACAGTCACATTCCTCCATTTACGGGGCATCGGTCTATTTGAGACCATACTTGTGGGGTTTATATTTAATGTGGGGCATACATAAGGCCTCGCAACTCTGGCATGTTTAAAACGATGTATGGGGGCGTAGGCTACCCTTCTAACATAGTGCCCGTAGGCCGGTTTTAGTAGTAAATGATATATGTCCCACAAATGTATATATTTTTAATGGGGTTTTATGTTATTGGTCAATATGTTTTCACCTATGGTAAAATTAAATATATAGTTGATATATATAACTTAGTACCCCTTAGTTCTGTTGTTTGGAAATGTCATTATATACCTACATAGTGGCATATATAAAAACTGACTGCATGAAATAATGCCACTCAACTCGGTCTTATAAATAGGCCCCGTAAGTGAAGATATGTGTGAATATATATATATATATATATATATATATATATATATATATATATATATATATATATATATATATATATATATGTGTGTAACCGGGTATAAATGATTGAAGACTTGCTTCTATTTCATCATTTAATTGTCGGACATACAAAAACGAGCATACAAACAAAATACAAAGGAATTACAAATAATTGATTTACAAAATAATAAAATTACACATTTCATCCAATTCATCAATGGAAAAGAATAAATATGACATTAGAAATATATAAATTCTTACCAGGATCAGCATACAAGAACTGTCCATAAATGATGTTTAAGTTTACTAATAAGTAACTACTACTATCAACAACTATACTGTAAAGTAAGTTATCAGTTACTCGTATAATGTGGAACTGGCGAAGGGAAATATTTTACTCAAGCAAGAAAATGTTTCGCGGGGATTTTAGGGTCATGCACGTGAAATATTAGTGAACACATTCATGCAACCTTTCAACTTACAGTGACATCTCATACGAAACAGACTATACAAAACATTACCACAGTTAGGCAAACAAACGACGACACAACAGTAAGGCGAATACCAACCAAATACAACATAACACGGAGGATACAATATACCAGTGATAAACACAGGTTACATATATATATATATATATATATACAAATAGATGTCTGATTTTCGCTGCCATTATCCTTCAATTCAAAACTCATTTGACAGGTGTTATCATAGAATAGTCCATGTTGAACAAACTATTTTGTTTAATTACTGAATTATTTTTGTATGTGAACAGATATCGATTTTGAGTTGTTTCTTGTTGAAAAATGCAGCCACCATTCCAGTTAAAATTCGCAGTAAAGTAAGAACATAAATAGTTCGCTTTATCTTTACATTTCCTTTAGAGATCATGCATTTAACAACCTGGACTGATTAAGAACAAATTCCCGGCGGAAACTAGGAGTTAAACAATCTGACCTTGATGCACCACCGAAAGGAAATTTACCGATGCGCAGCAAATTGCATAGAAATGTAATTTTCCGCGTTACATCGTATAGACGGAGAACTGTTGTCTCAACAGGTGCGTTATCAAAACTGGTATAACCAGTTTGGTCACGTGATAAGAGTTATTGACCGTGCGTACGTACGATTAGTGGTCAGTTCTACAGAGACTCTCGTTTGGTACACGTCGTTAACTACATGGGGAGTTTTTATCATGGATCGAGATACTCACGACATTATCAAGGACGTTGTAAAGGACACCGTGGAGGAAAGCAGACAGTCTTTACTTCAAGAAATTGGGACGATGTTCGAAAAGATAAGTGAACAAAATAATTCTTCTCAATTTGCTAGAATAAGCAATTTAGTGGCATCATCTCAGCCACAATTTAAAAGGAAAAGCAACGAAGAACAGTTTTGTCATAATAGTAAAGTTATGTTGAAGCTTAATGAAGTTGAGTCTAAGTTAGATAGCAGTAAAATTGAGGAGGCCAAAAACAGTATTACAACAGGTTTGTGTTTAAAAAAAATTCAATTTGCAAAAGCTTTGTTTTTATTCAGCAGTTTTAAATTCGTGATACAATTAATAAATTTGCTATTTTCGAATAGTTTTTACGTGTTTAATGTGTAGACCACGTGGTCTCGATACACGTGTCTTTTGTTATACTAGAGGTGAATTGTTCTGTATGAAGATTGTTGGGATATGTTTATTTCTAAAGGAATAATAATGCTTATAATAAGAATGATAATAAATATAATAATTATATGTCTATTATATTTAAAAAAAAATCTCTTTGTTTCTTCTGTTTTCAAATTTATTTAGATTAATGTCTTTTTGGACATTAGTGCACAAGGACGTAAAAAAAAACAAAAAAAAAAAAAAAAAAAACATAAAGATTTTATAAGCTGATGTGATCAATATAGATGTTTTTTGCATGGTTAGCAATGACTAATGTGGACTCGCCTTTTCTTTAACATGTATAGATAGGGGATTCATGTTTTATAGTATAACTGATATAGTTGCATTATAAACTTGCATACGCATGTCACAGATTTAAAACCCGTTGCGTTGGTAATGCGCAGGCCGATATAAATAAATTAGAGTAGTATCATTTATAAATAAATTTAGTGATACTATAAATGGCGGTAGCACGGGTTTTTCATGTTTAATGCTTGAGATATTTTTAAAGTTAGATACGGCTTATTTTATTTTCAAAATTTGTAAGAAAATTATGTATCATATCAATGTGATTTTCAGTTACAAGGATTATATCACAGGAGTTGATTATATTGACTCATAAAGATTATATTATTTATAGAAATTATGTTAAATATTTTTAGTAATAGGCATATTTTTCTTTCAGCTTTGGATATTTTGTCACACCGACAAAAGATGATACAGTTGGCGGATGCTAGTAAATTGGGGTGGAGAGTAGTTCATGAGTATGAACAAAATCCTCTAGCAGACGACAGCGATGATGAAAAGAAAATGTATAAAGCTGAAGTCAGGGCTGACAGGAAGTTCAAAGCTGAGAAAAA